AGGGGTCAGCGTGGCCCCATTTGACAGCCACGAGTTTCCCTGAAAACACAGCCCCCCCTCTCCTCCAGCCTCCACACGAAAAGACTCTCTGGACAGACACTTGCCCTTGTAGTTAAAATCTTTAACTTATTTTCTCTTAAATATTAATCATTGCATTTCATTCTGTGCACCACAAAGCTCAGCAGGAGCATTTGATTTATAATTCACAAGGCTTTACATTGTTAAAAAGAGGTGTGGGGGGGTCAAAGCAAAGAGCAAACCAGCGTGGCTGTGACATCCCCTCCCGAATGCCCTCCAGCAGTGGTCCCAGCACACATTTACCGTGTGGTGACCAAACCAGTCCACTCTGGCAGGGTTTCTACTGGGGTGGGCACCAGACAAGGAGGATATGAGCCTGTTTGCTGTAACGAGAAGGAGAGTTCTCCTCCAAGGCAATGGGAGAGGGGACAGGAGTCCCCGTTTCTGTTACCAGCATTACCCAGACTCAGATACCCCCAGTCCTCAGTTACCCACTAGAAAATGCACTGGAAAAATACCCTGGGCTCAACCAGCTCGGGGCATCTCTTGAAAACCCAGGAGAAAAATGCTGCTTTGATACCAGGAGATGCCAAACATTTCTGACCATCACAACACGCCACCGCTATTTATTCACCCACTTCTCCCCAGCCCAAGGGGTCTCATTAGTACCAGGGAAGCTTTTTTCACTAATTCCTGATAAGTAGAAGCTTTTTCTTTTAAAAAATCATTTGAAAAGAAAGATTAAGTGCAAGGGTGCGAATAGAACAGTTAACTCTTGATGGGCCAGGCTGGGTTTCCATGTATCTGCCTGGCTGCAGGAGGATTAAAAGGTGGATGCCAGATCGCCGCAGTGAACGTAGCAGAAAGCAAAGGCTTTCTGGCTGAGGATGCTCCACACTTCCCTTCCACTGACCTCCAGAGAACCGAAGACACAAACTGCAATCAGCTCTCTACATCTCTTGATTCAGTCAATACTGAGCTAAAATCTTTCTATTCTGGGCAGCGGCAGTGCTTCCTCGTAGCGTACGCCTGCCATGTGCTGTACCACTTGCAAACACCGTGTTGAGCCGTGAATGGGAGTTACACAAACGCAGAACACGGATTTGCCTCCCTGTCCCTGCCTCACCCCGGGGTGTGTGCCTGGCCCAGCTCTCAGCTCCTAGGACAGAAACCAGCACTCCCAGCAACATCCCCCAGCAATTCCCTGGGGAAGAAGAAGAATCAAGCTAAGAACAGGAGTAATGTATTGCAAGTTATTTTTTAGATTTTTGGGCTCGGTTTATGAAATCCCACTGTCTTCCTGGCCCCTTCTCTCCCCTCTTGAGCCAGTGCTGTCCTCTCCAGAGGATTAGAGAGTTTTAAAAATGCTGCAGATGAGGAGCAGCCCTGCAGAGGTGAGCCAAGAGCCCACCCAGCCCTTACTGCTCAGAGCAGGGGATGGCTGCAGGAGGGATCCAGGCTCTCATCCAGCCTAAGGATGAGAGCAGTGTGTGCTGGGGGTCAGTCAGGGAAAATTTCACAGCCTCTGTCCCAGAGAATGACACGTGGCCATTCACTGCTGAGCATCCCCGTATGGTCAGGGGAAAGTGGAACCAGCAAGAAGTGACCCTGCCATTGCGGTCCTGGGTGGGGACTTGACACCTACTGACGTGCAGAGAGAGGCGAGCAGAGCCTGCCGAGGCTGCGAGCGGAGTTTTGCTGCCCCCGCGCTAACCGATGTCGCTGCCCACCGATCGGTGCAGCAGCCCCCGAGATCATTACACCCCCCAGCCCTTACTGCCGGAGGGGAGGGCTGGGGCCTCGCACCAGCCCCACACAGCCCCTTGCCTGCTCGGATGCCTTTCGCTGTCCTGTTCTCCTTTCTCTTCAGGTTTTAATTATTTTTATGTAACAGGTGGGTTGTTGTAGGAGCCCGGCTTTCCAGCAGAGAGGTTCTTACGGTGACAATATTGCTTTCTTAGGTGTCTTTCGGAACAGCAGGGTTCCGTCCGTGTGGTTAAACTAATGTTACTCAGAATTAAGCCCAGCCTGGCAGGACACCTGCGCTGCTCAGACAACTGAAATCAAAACTCAAGGCACACAAACATCCCGCCGTGCTTAAGGCAGCCAGACAGGAGGGAGCAGGACGATGGCCCCAGGCAGGGCATTGCCACGGGCTGGCAGAGGAGGAGGAGAGTCCTGGGGAAAGTCAGGACCCGGTACGACAGCGAGTGTTTCCTACGAGGCTGTATCGGTACCAAGGCGGCATCGCCCAGCCCGCAGGATCGCACACGACGGTTGTAACACCTTTGAGCAGTTCTGCAAAAGGAGGCAGCTGGGGGGGTTGCAGGAATTGTTTGGAGGTTTGTCTGTTCTGTTTTACAGCAATTCGAGTCACATCTGGCTGCTCCCCTCTGTTGGGGAAGGGTTTTGCTGGTGATTAAAGGCGGGGGTTTTGCTTTTTCCACAGTTTCTGAACCTTCTCCTGTTCATGGCAGTGCCTTTCTGGCAGGGTCACCTGAAAAATGACTCGTGCTTTCCCTCCTGGCAGGGCAGGGGGAGCGGCAGGAGGGGGAAGACAGATGGATAAGTAAATAAAAGCCTGAATGAATCTGAAAGTGTGACTGAAGGCTAAGGGGGGGAACAGATCTTTTAACTGAGGATGTTGAGGGAAGGGCGAGACTTCACAGATCACACCCAGGGCACGGCACGGAGCAGCTCAATGCAGATTTCAAACCAGAGGGGTTTGCAGGGCAGGCACGGCTGGGGACCGGCCAAGCTGCTGCGTGGGGCGGAGGGGAGATGCAGCGTGACTTCGTGTCCCACCCTCCTGGGGAGGAGGAGGAGGATGGCACAGCTGGTGGGGTGCTCCCAAGTACTGAGCTATTCTGGGATGCTGAAGCACCTCTTTAATACTGAGCAGGGACCTTTGAGAATTTCACTTCCAAGCATCGGTGTTTTGCACACATGATTAAAAAAATATGCAAGTTTTGTGGGCAACGTACACCCGGGGCAGGGAGCAAGCTCCAGGGGTTTCCAAATTATTCCAGCAAAAGCAAGGTGGGGCGTACAGGAGATGTGCCCAGGGCTGACAGCCTGTGAGCCAACACCCTGGTGAGAGCTCCCCGGACCCAGCCGGCAGCATGGGGAGACCAGCTTGCTGTCAGGATGGGAGCCCTTTCCTTCCCCCGCCCCTCCCGAGGTGTCGAGACAGTATTTCTTGTTCAGACAAAGCTCTTTGATGCAGGGCCGAGCTCTTAGCCCATATTGATGGGTCAGGGGTATTTTTATTTGGCGTCAGCATTGTTTCATCAGCTAATAGAGCTTGTTGATTTTGGCACAGGGACATGAAAGGAAAAGGTTTTATTTATTCATTACACGCTCAGCCAAATTTGATGCTTAGTTTAATTCTTAGCTAAACTTTTGTGAATGACATGTGGTTATAAGGCTTGTACTAAGGAACTATTTCTCTTACTAGACTGGATGCTCAAATTGGAAAAAGCAAACAAACTTTTGGGCACAGAAACTACATTCTTAGTCCATCTCATACAACTCTACCCAACCGTATCTTCATACGCCTGTTTAGGTGCAAACAAAGGATTGTGGGTTTGGGGAGGATTAAAACTAAAGTCTAAGTTTTTAAAGTAAGAAGGAAAATGGAATTGCTTCAGAGATGCTCTTCCAAAAGCATCTTTAAAGATGCAGCATGATCTGGCAGTTAAAGGATGGATTCATCCCTTCTGGTACCCTGAGCAGAGACACAACCTGCAAGCCCACATACAAGTCAAATGGAAAACCCTTTTCAAGGAAAGGGGACGTTCTCCCTTCTCCTTGACTAAATCAGCGCTACCCGCTGCTGGTTGCAAACCCATCCTTGCCCTGAGCAGAGTCAGAGCTCCCCATTGCCCATCCTTACAGGACCTATACTGGGGACAATTTTCCCTTTATGCCAAAATTTAGCAGCACAAGAAATCCACTGTCCACTGTCAAATTGCCCATGACATCTCAGAAAGCTGCATCTTTCTTTTCACGTCTGTAAAGTGCTAACAGCCCCCCTTCCTCCCTGAGCCCTCCAGTACATTAAATTAACACCTGGAAAATCCTCCCCTTCCCTTGGAGGAGAGCCTGGCAAAGGCACCTGCTGCCATTTCCATCCAGATGAAGGTTTCCCTAATCCACGCCTTGCACCCATTGTGGCTTTGCTTTGGAGCGTGGGAGAAAGGGCTGGAGCCTTTCGGTTTTGTTCCTACCCTTAATCACTTCCCAGCACCAGGGCTGCTGCAGAGAACACTACTTGAAGTCAAGATCAACGGCTCCTTGCCCTTGGGGCCAGCCCCTTGCATTGCATGTTATTAGCTGCTCAGCAAATTACACCCTCCTGCTCTCCTGCCACAGAGGCTGCTCCGGCGTGCAGCAGGATCTCGGAGTTATAAAAGCAGAGGCTTTACAGAAAATGAAAGAATACAATTCAGCTTGAAATTGGAGAGTGCTGAGCAAA